TAAACCGACTTTTTCTGATAGTTCCTTATTTTGTCGCATTTGGAACGACTTGGCGAGGTATTTAATCAGATACAAAATTACTCCTTCGGCACTTCGGATCGGTTTACCTTGAACTTTTAAATGAGAGACTCGTTTCAGGTCAACCAGTCCATGGGGTCAGATATCATGGGCGATATAGGCACGGTGGTCTCAACAACCGGAAGGTGAGCCTTGGTTGGTGTATTTTCCTAATCCGCATTTTTGGTGGTGGTATTTCTCGGGCAAGAAGTCAGTGGAGAGCATGTGAATATGTCAATTTCTTAGACATTCATGCTTCATGGGGTGCGAGCAAGCAAGTTCGTTATGTTGTTTCCAGGAACTTTTTTTGGACTTTTTTTTTGGTCAATGGCACGCCGTTTGGCATTTATGAAGTTCGGGAACCGCGACTCATTTAAAGTTAGTAGGTTTTCAGAGTTTTTGAATGGTAGCAATGGCGTTAGCAAATAAGTCATTCACTCCTTCTAATTCGCGAGCCAGGCGTTTTTTGGCAATTCTTTTTTCAGCGAGGAAGGAGGAAGTGGCGGGAGCAACCGTTTGATAATAATGTTGACATTCACAATTAGCAAAGACACAGTTAGCTCCTTGGGTAGTTCAAGCGGCAAAGGAAAATTTTAACTCTTTTTGAAAATTATTAAAGGTTCAAGTCGAAAAATAAAGTCCGCGAGCAAAGTCCTCGGCGGTAAAATTCATAATCATGCTATTTTTGAAATTACGTAAAGAAGCATAATAATGACCTTTAAATTTAAGTTGGGAGACTAAGTCGTAAATTTCTTTTTCGGATTGTTCATCGTGAAAAAGCGGAGCCGGTTTTTTACGAGAACCTTGTTTATAAATACCTAAATTGACATTACCAAAACTAACTTGGGCTTTTTTTAGGTGAGAGCCAAAATCAGTGATGGTGAAATTGGTTAATTTGCCCGAGGATTGGGAGTCAGAAAAGAGATTGGTGAAGTTGCTAATAAGGGAATTTTTATCCTTAAAAGCAAATTCGTTTATTGTATCAAGATA